TATTTTTTCCTTGTGCCTTTGATTAAAGGTAGTTCTGTGTTCTTAGCTGCTGCCGTCTACTTGAAGGAGATTGTCGTGCACAGCAATTGATTTCTGTTTTCAGACTGGCCTAATTTTGCAGGCTCTCAAGTTGATAGATAATGAGGTTATAGTGATGCCTACAGAAAAGATGGATCCTTTCAGAAAGTAAAAAATAAATTAGCTAACCATCAAAACAACACTGCCTTATAAAAGTTTTTTTAAAAAACACCACAAAAACAAAAGTTGAAAAAAAGAAAGAGGACAACAAATAACAAAGGCCTGTTCCAGCTCTTAGGATCTGTACTCCCATCACTCTTAACTACCCTCAGTGAAAGATAAGGAAAAGTTAATTGACCCAATCAACAGCCCCATGATATTAAATTAAATTATAAATAAAATTATTAAAATAAATAAAATTAATTAAATTAAATTAGCAGTCTCTGCCCTCTGCTAATTCCCTCTTGTTCCTCCTGAGATCCACTCCGCTGTTGTTTAGAAAAGCTGTGTAGACCTGCCTCTTCACCCAGGACTTGGACCCCTTGCTTTGACATGGCCAATTTTTACGTTTTATTGATTGTATTGATTCCTTTGTTTGTTGTGAACCATCCAGAGTAACTTGGAGTCAGGCAGCATATGGGTTTAATATCATCATCATCATCATCATCATCATCATCATCATCATCATCATCATCATCATCATCCTGAAAAAGTCCTAACCATGCACATTGCTTTTTCAACTCTATCTAATCAATGTGGGAAACTCATTCAAATGAGTTCCTTTTTTAAAAGGAACTAAAGCACCCTGTTATTAAGACCAGCTGCCTGCAATTACTGCAGGTTCGAATCTCGCCAGGCTCAAGGTTGACTCAGCCTTCCATCCTTTCTAAGGTAGGTAAATTGAGGACCCAGTTTGTGGGGGCAATAAGCTGACTTTGTATAAATGTACAAAAGGATGAAGGCTATTGCTTAGCGCATTGTAAGCCGCCCTGAGTCTCTGGAGAAGGGAGGCATATAAATCAAATTAAAAAAAAAAAAGATTTTTAACCAGTCTTTTTTATGTATAAGGCATTGAGCATACCTAATACTCCTTCCTATTTTCTTCACCCCAGCAACCCTTTGAGGTGCAGTGGGCTGACAGAGAGTGACTGGCCCAAAGTCACCCAGCTGGTTTTTCACGCCTAAGGCAGGACTACGACTCCCAGTCCCCCGGTTTCTAGGCCAGCACCTTAACCATTACACCAGTCTGGTTCTAGTTCTCTAAAGAAAAACAGCTGAAGAAAAAGTGTAGTGAATGTACTAAGGCAGTGATGGTGAACTTTTTGGGCACCGAGTGCCGAAAAGGGAGCGTGCGCATCTGCACACTTGTCTGGGCCACAACCCGGAAGAGGAGCTGCCCAGGGTACATGTGTGTGCCCAAAAATGAACTTCTGGTTTCTGACGCATGCGTGCGTGCCAGCAAGCTAGTCTTCCAGTTATTGGTGTGCATGCATGCATGACGATCAGATGACCGCCATGCATGCTCATGCAGGAAAACGGAAGACCAGCTCTTCCAGTTTCTGGCACTGCCGCATGCATGAAGTCCAGCTGATCATCATGTGTGTGTGCATGCCAGAAACTCGGAAGAGGAACGGGTGATGCCGTGCGTGCCAGGTGACATGGCTCCACATGCCACTTTGGACACACGTGCCATAGGTTCACCATCACGGTACTACCAGAACTTGGTAAAGGCTTGGTAAAACAGTACACATCTTGCCAATAATTTCTTAGCTGCAAAGCCACTATTTCTACCTGACAAATGGAAAAATAAAGCTTAAGTGATGGCTATGAAAACTAACTAATACCTTATAGGCACTGGGGACTCATGATATATTGGGCACATCCTGAGCAATAGAGATCAGGAACCCTCAATTTCCAAAATCGTAATTTTTGATCCATTTAGTGTGTTTGTGTACATCAGTAAGCAGTTTGCTTATTTGGTTGAATTTGTCCTGGTGAAATGGGCTAGAATGTTAATGTGGCAAGTCACTGCTATGAAAAGTTTTCCCTGAAAGCATTTTTTTTTTAATTTGATTTATATGCCGCCCTTCTCCGGAGACTCAGGGTGGCTTACAATGCATTAAGCAATAGCCTTCATACTTTTGTATATTTATACAAAGTCAGCTTATTGCCCCCACAAACTGGGTCCTCATTTCACCTACCTTAGAAAGGATGGAAGGCTGAGTCAACCTTGAGCCTTGGAGAGATTTGAACCAGCAGTAATTGCAGGCAGCTGTGTTAATAACAGGGTGCTTAGACCACTGTACTATCAAGGCTCTTATATGGAGGACCAGTATGGCAGCACTGTGAGATAGAAAACTGAGGGGTTTCATTACCCCAACTTGGAAACATCATCGGTGCTGCACTGATGCAGCACCAATGATGTTACCTACTGTAGTTTAGGCAATGAAATGTCTGCAAGAAAACAAGCAAGCTCAGAGAGCACCAAGGACCCCCCATGTCAATCCTGAGCTACAAATACCCTCCTTTATTGGCACATAGAAAACTCTGCTTGCTCATATGTAGAGATCAGCAGGGATTTTTTTTTTTTGTAGCCCAGATAAAGTAGCCCTAGTTACAGATGTATAAGAAATCCAAGGAATTAATTTCTTGTTGAATGTTTCCAAATAACATTTAACTAAAATATATTTCTGTTTTAGCAATCCTTGGGGTGGGGGTGGAACTTGAATGCAAACATGCCAGTGCCATGAAATGAAACTGAAGAGGATGTGTACAATTTGGTTGCCCCATATCCTTATCTGCAAACATCTTTCTTCAGAATAAAAACTCTCCTCATTTCAAGACATGCCTCCACATCAGCTACGCAATGAGCAGATTCCATCGCTTGAGATAATTTCCTCTAGTCTGTATCTCCATTGAGTTTGCTTGCTTTATGGAAGATATTAATCATTTCCATTACTATGAGAGAGCTATATATATATGAGAAGAACATTCAAAGTTTTACCAGCTTCATCTGAGGAAACTGAAGGGCCTATTTCTCATCACAATGGTCTTCAACTATTTGATCTTTCTTTGCATTGGCACTTATGTCACTTGTATGCCAATAGAGGAATTCAAGGCTCCTCTAAAGGAAGCTATAAAATGTATGGACTTCTTCTTGACTGAGGTATGTAAGCAGACAATGGAGAAACTCTGTCTATATTTGTCTAACTCTCTTCTAATGCAAAAATCTCTTTTCCATATCGAACATTGTTTTGTATTTGAGGAGAATCTTGAAGAAAAAAGTCCAACTTGTAGCTTGGTTTTTCAACAAGTGAAATCTTTCAATATTCTGGATGAATAATTGACACAAGTTTAAGGAGAGGGCATGACAAGATATAGAAAGAAAGAAATCAATGGAATTCCATTCTGATCAACTTTCAAAATGTTCAGTTACACCATGAAGCTAGCTCATGAAGAGTGGACAACTTTTTATTCTGCTGCTCATGCCTTCAAGAATAATCATTTGGGGGACTAACTAATAGGCAAGGCTGGAGCAAAAAGTGAAGAGAACAAAAGCCTAAAAAGGAAAAGGTTCCTCATTTTCTTGGTTCTGGAAGTCTCTGGCTGTATAGAAGGGATGGACCATTCTTAGCAGAGTTTAGACTGCTGTCTTGTAACTAGGCTTTGAAATTAACCCAAAGGTTGTGTGAAACTAGCTTATGGTCTTCTTGTGGTTTGAGGGCAGTGAGTGGCCATCGGTGAATGAGGGTATCAATTTTAAAGTGTACAATGATACTGTACTTTAACACACAAAGAGAAATATCTGAAAAAGGATTTGTGACCGGTAAATTTTAGGAGGCCTGTTGAAGAAAAGAGTTATTTTACATGCAGCCTACTGTGCAGTCAAAATGCTGCTTGCAATTTAGTTGTAATCATTATTATTCATGTATTAAATATATTAGCTGCCCATCTCAAAGATAAGGTAACACTGATAAGGTAATAAAAAGGGATAACCATATTTCTTCTCCAGTATTAGCTAGCAGCTCATGCCATCTTATTCTTTGTCTCAGGTAGCAAAACTATTGGCCAGTCCTGCAACTTGACTTCAGTTGTCATATCTTAACTGTGAAAAAGGCTCCTTTAACTATTACCGATGTCAAATAATGAGCTGTTAACTCTTTGTTTTTAATGCTGATACCTAATCATGAACTGTCATTTGTTATTTTCAGATGAAAAACGATGTTCCAGAACCCTTGGTAGATATTCCAGAAACATTAGAGGTAAGCAATGAAAAAAAAAAAAAACCCGAGAAAATGGGGTGAAGCATCTCCAAACACAACATTGACTGTTGTGATTATGCTATACAAAACATTTGTAGATGCATTGCTTGTAAGGGGAACATGGGCGCTTCAGGCATTGTATCTGGTATCTCTGCAGGGATGTGCATGGACCATCTCTTTAGTAATAACAATAGCAACAGCACTTATACCTACAGTATATAGGAATTGTGAATATATAGTATATATTCACAATGCTTTACAACCCTCTCTAAGCAGTTTACAGAGTCAGCAGATTATCCCCAACAATTTGGGTCCTTATTTTACTGGCTTCGGAAGAATGGAAGGCAGAGTCAACCTTGAGCCGGTCAGAATCGAATTCTTGGCAGTGAGCAGTGAGGCTCATTCCAACCACTGCGCCACCATGGCTCTTTACTTCACAATCATTATAACTTGTGGCCACCCCACATCGGGCCGGTGTTAGGAGAGATTGAAAGAACAAATGTGTATTAACATTTAGGAGAATTGCTGCAAAGCATAACAGTTTCTCCTTTGAAATATAAATATCTTTCAGCCAGAGCTGTGTTGATGATAGATGCATTTCCTTAGCAACTATTCTCATTCAGGATGATAGAACAGATATTGCTGTCAATTTTTGAAAAAGAAAATGAATGTGAATATCTTCATATTCTCATAGATGGGAAATAAAGCCCTTGGACTTACCTTACTTATGATTTAGTGAAGAGTGCATGGGAACCTCTCTTGTACAAAAACCTCTTTGTCAGTATGCAGTCTCCCTAGCTTCTTATTTTCAATGTGACTCCATGTTGAATTCCCATGGAGCAGGTGGACAACTAGAAAGGTGAGATAATAAATGAGAGAAATAAAAAGCTCCAGCCACTTCAGAAAACTAAAATAACCTTCCACTTTATCTCAACACTTTAAATACAATGTTATCGTACTTTTATTGGTGCTTCGTGTAGATTTTCAAGTCAAACATTCAACTGGACATTGTGAAGGTAAATTACTCTCAAGGTTAATGCAGGATTTAGTTTAAAGAAACCGTAAGCATATTATTGAAGTAATATCAATAGTGAAGGATAAAAGACAGGCAGTATCAGGATTTAATTAGTGAACTGCACTTGAGAGACTATTATTGGTAATGAATATCTAATCCAATTATTGGAAATTTATAAGCCGGACGCTTAATTGAATGTCCATCATTACAATGGAGTAATGTTGTGTTTAATATTGTGATAGACTATATTACATAGCAGTTGCATCATATTTTCAGTGACTCTTGTAACATCTGCAGGTATTCTGTACTTATATCAGAATCATACTAGTTCTAAGGATGTCCTAAGTGGTGGTTATATAAATGTCCAATGTAATATAGTTATTCTTTGTATAATTACAAAGAAGAGGGGTTCGATCTATTTTCCAAAGCACCAGAAGGCAAGGCAAGATACAATGGATAGAAGCTAATTAAGGAGAGAAGCAACCTACAACTAAGACATTTCTTAACAGTGAGAACAATTAACCAGTGGAACAGCTTGCCTTCAGAAGCTTTGGATGCTCTATCATTGGAGGCTTTCAAGAAGAGACTGGACAGCCACTTGTCTGGAATGGTTGAGCAGGGGTTTTGACTAGAAGACATCCAAGGTCCCTTCCAACTATATTATTCCATTACTATTATCAATATCATAGCAAAATTGTGGACCTCTCCTGTTACTCCTTAAAAATCTAGAGTTTAAGAATTCTATTAGTTAGGACTTCTTAGCAATGTGGAAATGAAGATGGCAGGGTAGGGGGAAAGGAGTGATTTTACCTCTTGCTGACAGAGCTTTCAAAAGCTCAATTGTTTTTTATGCAAGATAAAGACTGAAACAAAGACTTTATTGCCAACCAATTCCTCGGAGGATGAAATAATGAATTCCCATCAGCCTTTGGAATTTAATGTTTTAACACATCATGTATCATGATAAGCCACAGTGCGCCACAAATGGAACATTAAGTATGCTTTTCATTTGATCACTCCTCATTCCTGAATCACTGCAGCAGCATTTAGAAATAAACCATCCTTTCAAGCTTATGATACAAGTATGTAAAATTAAAAAACAAAAAAACAAAAACACATCTAATAGACCACTCATGAACATGCCTTATTATGAAAACATGCTTAGGGGGATAGTCACCCATTTCAGTTTGATTCTCCATGGCCTGAGTCATTCTCTTATCAATTATATGTGTTTGAGAAAACATATGACTCAGGAAAGGGTATAGCTAGTCTAGAGAAAAGAAGGACTGTCACCTGGTTCCAATTCCTGCAACCAGGTGACATGATAGCAGTGTTCCAATATTTGAGGGGTTGCCACAAAGAAGAGGGGAGTCAACCTATTCTCCAAAGCACCTGAAGACAAGACAAGAAACAATGGATGGAAATTAATCAAGGAGAGAAGCAAGCTAGAATTAAGGAGAAACATCCTAACAGAACAATTTATCAGTGGAATGGCTTGCCTTCAGAAGTGAGTGCAACATCACTGGAAGCTTTTTAAGAAGATATTGGATAGCCACTTGTCTGGAATAGTATAGGGTCTCCTGCTTGAGCACCCAAAGTCCCTTCAAGGTGTATCTCTATTCAATATAATATTTTCAGAGCATCACCCAGGTCTTGTTAAAACGTTATAAAGCCACAATAACTAGATGACTCTAAAAGAAAAGTTTCTAATGTGGAAAGAGAGTAGAGTTGTGACATTACAGCCAGATATTCTGTATAAACATATTTTGTCAAGATAAAGGTCATTTAAGCTGCCAACAGTAGAAACCAATTTCAGGAAAGACAATCAAATTTCAGGAAAAAAAGGGATTGCCATTGTCAAACTCTGTAATATCACTGATAGGGTATGTTCTAACTGATAAAACTGTAGAAAATATTGCAAAAGCTACATAATTTAGTTCCTTTAGGTTGTGCCTGGAAATAGCTTATAGATGTTTTCCTTTCCTTAGGACCACTGAATTGGGTACAATAGAGACATGATTGTCCATCATGGGTACTCTTAAATCCAAATTTCTCTAAATAATTCCAAGCACACTAAATTTGCCAGCTTTGGATGATGGTTAAAGAATTCCTTGTTAGAAGCATTTGATGGAACGAACAGAATAAATGAAGTATAAGATATACAAGCAATGAGGCTTTTTAAATGTAAGCGGCTTTTAAAAATCTGTCATCTGTTTCTATTGAAAAGTGGGGCCGGTAATTTATCATGGGTAGAATAAGAATTATAGGCACATGAAAAAGAGATCAGATCATAAAGAAGCAGAGAGACAGATATTGACTTACTCTCTATTATAATGCCAATATACAGTAAGTATACAATCTGAGACTTGTGGACCACTTTTGGCTACCAATACCTTTAAATGTGACTTCCTCCGCCTCTCAAAAGACACTAAAAATGTGTCAGAAGAGAAAACTATACACGCTTCTATGAACAATCTTATTTATATTTTAATTGCATCCAATTTAGCTTTGGTTCTATCTTTGCCCTTAGAATGCTTCTAATGTGTTGAGTGCATCTGGAATTAAACTCTGTGTGTGCTTTGATTGTAGCATCATTCCGGAATCCCTCATCTGGATAGCGGTAGCATATTTACAAATGTGTTCTGAGTCTGACCCTTGAATTTATTTTTCCCTTTTCAGGATGGCTGTATAAAAAATAACCTGAAAATTTTTGCGGAGTCATTGGGAAAAATAAGGCAATTCGTTTCACATTCCAATTGTGACACAATCATTTCGGATCTTAGTAAGAAGTGGCCTGGCCCAGAAAAGGTATGTAACAATTCTCCAGTTTGTTTCAAAGAGACAATCTAAAACGTTTTAACGATGATAAAGCTGTTGTCAGTTTTTGCCTTAGTGGCAGAGACAGGTATAACATGGCAGATCATGGCAGAAATCCAGAATCGCTCATATGTTCCACTGATATTCTGTTAACAATGTGAAAGCATTGTGATGTCCTGGAGAGCTTAATAATTAAAAATCCGTGTAGCTGCAGTGATACAAAATATACTTTACTCACTTTCTTGTACTGCAACAAGGAAGGAAAAATCAGAAATGAACCATTATGTCAAGTGGCAGACAAATTCAATTCAAATGAGCATAAAGATTTATTGCAAGCTTAAGCTCTCTACAAGAATCTGACCCATTAACAGTCAAAGGAAATTAGTGGGGGTTAAGAAGGAATTCAAGGTGGGCTGGATTTGAATCTCTTGTGGGCACTCAGGGACTCATGCCTGATGATGCATTTCACCCCTCCCTCAGGCTCATCCTGGCCATCTCCTATTATAATCATAAATATCATTATAATAAAAGAGCCTTGGTAGTACAGGGGTTTAAGGCACCCTGTTATTAAGCTGGTTATTAAGACCAGCTGCCTGCAATTTCTGCAGGGTTTGAATCTCGCCAAGGCTCAAGGTTGACTCAGCCTTCCATCCTTTCTAAGGTAGGTGAAATGAGGACCCAGTTTGTGGGGGCAATAAGCTGACTTTGTATAAATATACAAAAGGATGAAGGCTATTGCTGAGCACATTGTAAGCCGCCCTGAGTCTTCGGAGAAGGGCGGCATATAAAGCAAATTAAAAAAAAATTCATTCCTTCATTTATTAAGTATATTTGTTACCTTTATGTTTATAAAAAATTGGGCTAGAATGTACCTTTTTGAGAATTTATTCTCTAGCCTACAGTATAGTATATGATTATACAAATAGTGGTAAAGAAATAACATTTGCATCTCTTCATCAAAGACGATGGAGAAAGAAATTGGATTTGAAACCCTTTTCCTTTCCAGCTTTCACCTTGGAAAAGAAAGTGATGCTGGAGATATATTAGTTAACTTTCACTGGTAGCAATTGTAGTAGGATGTCAAGGCACTGAAAACATGAATTTTAAATATGTGATTTTTCCCTACCAGTGGAAGTTAATTACCACATCTAAATGAATTGTTTGCACAAATTGCATTCAAGGAACGCATTGCCTGCAGTATTCTTGCAACGATGGTAATAGCATGAGTTCAGATCAAGCCAAAATGGTGTTTCGTTGGTCTGTGATTCAGAATAGAACTATAGAAATCCACCCATTGTCTCAGCAAGTTGGCTGAATTAGGCCATCACTTATGAGCTGGCAGATTTAGTTATTTGGACAAAGCTTGTTAGTTGTGTATCGTTACCTTGTGGTTTGGTTTGTAGCATAGACGTAGTAAGTGAGTGTAATTATATGCCTTTAAATGTATGTATGTGTGTTTTCTATGTGCATGGCTTGATAATAATGGTCAAAAGAATTTGATAAGTAGATTTGATGAGTAGATCATATAAGGCTATTACACTTTATCATTATATTATATTTGGGTGTTACAGAAGAAATTATATTGCTATATCCAATAGATCAATTATATATCCAAAAAGTGGGTTATATCAGGGGATCCATATCATATTCAGTTAAGAAACTTTAGGTGTCAGACTTCCTATTTTCTGGTAAGTGGCAACTTAAAAGTCTTTAACTTGTTTGAAGTTTCACTACAATCTTTCTTTTTAATAACAGACAGGTCAGAATTGTGCAACCATTCAAGGAAGACCCAAGCTGCTGCTTCAAAACCTCCTAGACCATCTGAAGGAGTGGAATAATGCAGCATAAGGACGTGTTTCTTGTTTCTTGAAAAGTTCTTTTTGGGAAGAAGGATTCCAAGAAGAAACTTTGCACCTTAGATTATGTCCATCCCACTTGGTTAAAGAAGCCAAGATGCTCCTTAAGGCTCTCATCAGTGATGCTATCCAAAGGAAACACAATCCGAGTATATTTATTAACCACAGAGCAATCTGTGAATTTTATTTATTTATTTATTTGTGTATTTATTCATTTATTTATTTGCTGGTTATCACAATATATTTATTTTTTTTAAATTTTTCACGTTGCAAACTTTGCTAGTAAATCATTCCATTTTCTGGCTTTGTATAGTAAGCTATATAGGGATAGGGATTGTATAGGGATGTGGTGGCTCAGTGGCTAAGACACTGAGCTTGTTGATCAAAAGGTTGGCAGTTCAGTGGTTTGAATCCCTAGTGCCGCGTAATGGGGTGAGCTCCCGTTCCTTGTCCCAGCTTCTGCCAACCTAGCAGTTCGAAAGCACATAAAAAATGCAAGTAGAAAAATAGGGACCACCTTTGGTGGGAAGGTAACAGTGTTCCGTGCACCTTTGGCATTTAATCATGCCGGCTACATAACCATGGAGACGTCTTCGGACAGTACTGGCTCTTCAGCTTTGAAATGGAGATGAGCACTGCTCCCTAGAGTCGGGAACAATTAGCACATATGTGCGAGGGGAACCTTTACCTTTACTTATGGTGAACTAAGCCTAACCAATTGGGCTGAAATTATGCAACGCTCTAAGAGACACAGAGACATATGGGGTCAAGCTTAACTCTAATACAAGTTAGCATCTTGTAGAAAGGCAAATTTTTAAAGAATCTGTCTATGTGCCATGTACAAAATCATAAAAGCTCATTGGGGATGCCAAACATCTGCTAAGCTATGCCCTAACATTAAAATATCCATCACATTCAATGTGATAAGAAGCAGAACGTGATATTGTAAAACAGAGAGTCCTCGACTTATGACCACAACTGAGCCCAACATTTCTGTTGCTAAGTGAGACATTTGCTAAGAGCGGTTTGCCTCATTTTACAACCTTCGTTGCCATAATTGTTAAGTGAATCTGACTTCCCCATTGACTTTGCTTGCCAGAAGCAAAGTCAAAAGGGGAATGCATGACCCAGGGACACTGCGACCGTCATAAACATGATACTGCCATGATCATGTGTGAAAAATGGTCATTAGTCCCTTTTTTCAGTGCTGTTGCAACTTTGAACAGTCACTAAGTGAACTGTTGTAAATTGAGAACTACCTGTATGGATTTTATTACTTCTCCCTTTTTTGCACTGCACTCTTGTAGATGTCTCACAGCAACATAATCCGGACACATTTTTATGTGTATTTATTTGGAAGTTAATTCCACTGAAGAATTTCCTATTCATTATTCAGTTCAGATTAACCGAATCCAATGAAAATAATAATGTATGCGGGGGGACGAGGGATGAAGGAAGGTATTTCAACCTGTACTTGATAAAATAGCAGAGAATGGTTATTCCTTTCTCATGGGTTGCATCAAGAAGTATAAAATAAAATAATCTGAATAAATTACAAATTTGAATAAGATTTTGGAGCTACAATCCAAAAGATGGATTGAGGCTAAGGCAAATTTATAATTTAATTTTAATCAATTTTAATTAAAATTACATTAAATGAACTGAATCTAGTTAATGATGTTGTTACTATATATTTCATACTTTCCTGTTGACATCTGAGTAAAAATTACAATTGTATGGATGTTTTTATAATGGTTCTGGAGTCTTCACCTAAATTTTGGACAGGACAATTGTGGCTCCAAGTCTTATTTTCTCTTGACTGTGATATAAAATCAGGCTGCACATTATGACATTTTCTTTGAATTTAACCATTTGTTGTTCAGAAATATTTATTTTATATCTTTAAAAATGGGAAAAATTTAAATAAATAATTTAAGAAAAATGGATTTTGTTTCGTCCTTAGCTGAAATAATGGTTCAATTCAGTTATTTTCTATTTATATGTCTTATAATTTTGAATTTAATTTTTGAAACATTGTAATTGTTGGGCTGCTGAAAGAATATATAAGTTATTTATACTCTCTCTATATATATTAGTTTTAAATTTAACTTCATGTTGAAATTTGAGCATTAACATTTCAATGTTTATAGATGAATGAAAAATGTATGTGGTATTATTATTGATGTTATATATTTTATTTATAGAGTATAATTTATATTGCATCCGAGGAATTCTTTATACATGTAAATGATTTGTAATAAAAATAATGAATTATTAAGGGTTTATTGACCAATAATTATATGCATACGGTGTAGCTGAATAAATTATTCTGAATAAGTTTGCTGTTCAGTCTTTATTGTGAAATAGAGGGATTATGGAAATTAGTCAAGATTCAATTTTAATTTGTAATTCATTTCAAGAAGGCAGTTTGATTTGATTCAAATTTCCAGTTCAACAACAATATTTAATATGGCTCACTTTAAGCCTATGATAAAAGTAATATTGAATTAATTTGATTACCATATTCAGTAAAAAACAAATGTAGGCATCCATTGAATTTTCAAATGATTCAGAAGCACCTGATGTTATTCAAGCTTCTGAATTTATCTAGGTGTTGTGCTTTGAAACTTTGTTTTAAAGTGGTGGTCCAATTAATCACTTTTGATTTAAATCAGTGTTTTTCAAACTTGACAACTTTAAGATGTGCGAACTTCAACTCTCAGAATTCCCCAGCCAATACACTGACTGGGGAATTCTGAGAGCTGAAGTCGACACAGCTCTAAATTACCAAGTCTGGGGAAAAAAAAACTGATTTAGATGCATGATTCTCACAGCAAGTAATTATACATGAGATGTACAACTAGTAACTATTAACACGCTTGCTATGAAAAGTATAATTGTTCTCTTCTTTTATAAACCTGCCTCTTTCACTATTAAGAGTGAAAGAGTGGTGGTACTTCGGGATGAAGTACCACCAGTATGCTGATGACACCCAGCTGTACATCTCACCCTAGACCACCCCAACGATGCCCTTGAAGTGATGTCCCGGTGCCTGGAGGCCGTGCGGATCTGGATGGGGAGGAATAGGCTCAGGCTCAACCCATCCAAGACCGAGTGGCTGTGGTTTCCGACGTCCCGATATAGTCAGTTGGTGCCATCACTGACTATTGGGGGTGAATCATTGGCCCCCACGGAGAGGGCGTGCAACTTGGGCATCCTCCCTGATTCACGGCTGTCTTTAGAAGAGCACTTGACGGCCGTGATTGGGAGGATTTTTCATTAGGTTCCCCTGATTCGCCAGTTGCATCCCTTTCTGGATCGGGACTCCTTACGCACGGTCACTCATGCCCTCGTCATCTCCCGCCTGGGCTATTGTAACACTCTCTACATGGGGCTCCCCTTGAGGAGTATCCGGAGGCTCCAACTGGTGCAGAGTGTGGCTGCGCGGGTGGTAATGGGAGTGACATGGCGCTCCCATGTAACACCTCTCCTGTGTGAGCTGCACTGGCTCCCGGTGGTCTTCCGGGTGCGCTTCAAGGTTTTGGTTACCACCTTTAAAGTGCTCCATGGCTCAGGACCTGGGTACTTGCGGGACTGCCTACTACCACCAATAGCCTCCCACCGGCCGGTACGCTCTCATAGAGAGGGGCTCCTCCAGGTGCCGTCGGCCAAACAATGTCAACTTGCGGCCCTCAGGGGGAGAGCCTTCTCTGTGGGGGCACCTACTATCTGGAACGAGCTCCCCCCGGAGATACGGAGGATCCCGGATCTGCGCACCTTCCGCCGCGCTCTAAAGAACTTTTTATTTCACCAGGCGGGCCTGGCCTAACTTTCTCCCTCTTTTTAAACAATTTTTAAACAATTTATATATTTTAATATTTTCAATATCTTTTAATTTTCAAAGTTTAAATCTGTTTTAAATTGATTGGGGTTTTAATCTGTCTGGGCCAAATTATTTAATTCGATTTTAGTTCTGTTTTTTAAATTTTGTATGTATGTATTTTATTGTTGGCTGTTCACTGCCCTGAGTCCTTCGGGAGAAGGACGGTATACAAATTAAATAAAAGTAAAAAAAAAAAAAAAAAGTAAAGTAAAAGAGTAACAACTTACTTCAAAGTCCACGGTCAGCTAAGTCTTTATGGGAACAACCAAAATTGCAGTAATTTGTACCTCCTACGTAGCAAAAGCAAAAAAAAAAGAGTATTGAACCGGAACATTAAAAAAAAAAAAAAAAAGCAGCCCTGTGCGAAAGTTAAGATCATTGTGATTATTTTCTCCCAAACAGACATTTGGATTATAGCTGCCCTCATCCAGTTGTTGTCTTCCCATTCTCAAACACATACGTTGGCTACTTTTGAACTATTGTTAACTCATGCTTATCACATTGGTCTTCTATTGGCCTCTGTTTTAGTAGCATCTGAACTGGGACCACTGTTCTCCAGTGGATTCCTTCCTTCCTTCCTTCCTTCCTTCCTTCCTTCCTTCCTTCCTTCCTTCCTTCCTTCCTCCCTCCCTCCCTCCCTCCCTCCTCTTCTTTCCTTTATTTTTTAAATAACACAAGACAGCCAACATATCCAACATACCTTCCTTTTTTCTATTTCCCCCAGAACAACAACATTGTGAAATGGGTTGGGTTGAATAGATTAATTCAACGGGCCCTGGGACCCGTTCCATGGAGACAGGTTTTTCCACAAAAAAGGAGAGCATGGTTTCTCATGCTGTGGATGGGGCTTTGTTTGTTTGCACAAACGGATTCTGGCATGCTGGGGCCCTGTGCTGGGACCCCTGGACTAACTGACCTTAGCTGGCTTTCATGGCTAAGGCAGGACTTGAACTTACAGACTCCTGCTTTCTAACCTGGTGCGTTAACCAGTAGACCAAACTGCCGCTCTGATCATATGGTCTACAAATGTGACATTAAACAACCGTCAAGACAAAATCAACAAGAGACTAGCTTAATGTTAAGGCAAACAAATGCTTTTTTGAAAACCAGATTCTCTTTTGTTTTGTGAAGAATATTATAAAAAAGATACAGAAAACACAGTTCTACTGCTCTTTCAAAGGTGTGAAGGTATTCAAACAGAAGAAAATCCTTGTAATTTAATAAAATTATGAAATAGATTGTGAACCAGTAAATTTAATCTGATAGTTTGATCTGATAGTTTGCTCTTTCCATACACTTATAATTACTCACTCTATCACATGTTTCCTAGCACTGGTTTTTACCACATGTACTCTGCCAGTTTCCTGTGACATTGCAAACTAATGTTGCCTTCATGGTTAAAGGAAATAATCAGCATGCTTTCCCCCATCTATAACCACAGATTCTGTGATTTCACCTTTGTTTCACTACTTACTGTGGTATATTGTGTTCTACTGCTTTTCTCAAATCAGGAAATTAATTTTGTCTCCAGACACATGCAATTGTTTAGTTAGATCCAGAAGGCACTTTAAAAAGGAATTTGTTCTCGAATTGAACTATATCCCAGTTCTCTGAGATTCCAGGTGATTCATTTCTGAATAAGTGCGAAGGGAATATATCATTGCCTAACCTACCAGTTTTGTATGTGGCTGGCTGGATGCTTTGAATAGTGCTTTTTCTATGTGATTGATGTATTAGCTGGTTCTCATTATGTTGATATATGGAACAATTTCTTGCTTATCTGAACAGTTATCGGATAAAGGAAGACATTGTTGTAATCTGCAATTTTCCCAACTGTTTAACCTGTGGCTATTTCTTTTAAGTGGTACAGGTGAAACCTACATCTAAGGAGCTGCTAATTACTAATCTCAGGGCACTTGATGCAGAGGTTTGGGGCTATGAGGAAAACAGCAGGAGGGAATATTATATGCATCACCTTGTATTGTACAAAATTAACCTAAATTAAAAACAAAACAAAACAAATTCCTGGCATTCTTTGTGTTATTTATTTATTTAATGAATTTTGGAGCCACCCAAGGCCCAACAATTCTGTCTGGTTACAATCAGACCAATGGACAAATGAAAAAGAATTTATGGGTGGCCTGAGGATATATAAACAAACAAATAATGTTGAAGGAGAACCAGACTCCATCTGAGCCAGTGTCTTCAATTGAAAGTTTCTTTTCCCCTTTCATCCTCTTTTTTTAATCAGATAAACCAGGGGTTTCCAAACTTGGCAACTTTAAGAGTTGTGGACTTCAACTCCCAGAGTTCTGGGAGATTAGATTTGAACCCGGAAACGTTTTTACTAGGCATGAAACCAGAGAACTTAAACAAATCTAATTGGTATCTCGCTCTCCACATCATCATTGCAGCCAGGATCTCTCGTTCGCGCAAGAATGGAAATCCAAAAATATTCCATTGGAGGCTACGTTAATCGCAAAGATCATGGACTGTGCAGAAGCAGACAAGCTTACTGGACTTTTGCGAGATAGACAAGAATCAGGGTTATATAGGAGCTGGGACAGATGGTATGCTTGGCTGAAAAAAAAGAAATCTTAAGAAGAATGAAAATATTAACCTTAATGTGAACATGGGTAAACATTTATAGGAGCATTGCATGACAGTTGAGAATTTTTTCTCCTGGATAAACTTTTCTTTCTTTTGATGAGTTGGCTTAATGGAGATATGTACTTTCTCTAGGCGAAAATTGATACTTTAAAACTCTATATGTATTATATTACTCTCTGCAATTCTATCCATATTGTTATACTTTTTTTTCCTGTATTTTTTAATAATTTTCAATAAAAATTTTTTTAAAAAAAGTCTTAAAGTTGCCAAGTTTGGAGATCCCTGAGATAAATGATCAAATGCTGGCTGATACAGAAAAGATGTTAAAGTAGCATGTCTGTCCAAAAGGAGGGAACAGTGAGAGGATTTGAATTTCATGGTGTGGTACACTCATGGGATAAATCTTCCCTCTTCCCTCTTTAGCCATTCTAGAAAAGTATCCATTAATTTCAACTGATAGTAATTAAAATTTGATGCTAATTCAGTGAAATGTCTTTTCTGTGAGTCATTTCCTTATCAGTGAGAGTCAGCTTCCACTTTGAAATGAACTTCTGCTCGTGGAGATCATATTCATTATTTCTGTATACATTATTACACGGTGATATAAGTCAGCAAAAGAGCAACTTTGACTAAAAAACAAGTATATTTTTAAATTTTTATCTTTGTGTTCAGCAAGAAGATGCGTCATGCGGATCTATTAATAATATACACTTGATAGATGAATGAAGTTAACATATATGTAAAAAGGTAGTATATAGAGAACATAGAATAATAGAGTTGGAAGGGACCATGGAGGTCTTCTAATCCAACCCTCCACTCTAGTAGGAGATATACTACTCTATACCATTTCAGATAAATGATTTTCTAGTCTCTTTTTGAAAACCTCCAGTGATGGAGCACCAAACAACTTCTGGAGGCAAGCTATTCCACTGTTAGGAAATTTCTCCTTAGTTCTGGCTTGCTTCTCTCGTTGGTTAGTTTCCATCTGTTGTTTCTTGTCTTACTTTTTGGTGCTTTGGAAAATAGTTTGATCCACTTCTCTGTGTAGGAGCCCTCAGATATTGGAAGACTGCTATCGTGTCTCCCCTAGTCCTTCTTTTCATTCAACTAGACATATCCAATTCCTGTAACCATTCTTCATATGTTCTCCTTCCTCCTCCCCTTTTTTACTGCTGAATATTTCTACTCAGAGAGCATAAGAACAATTTTGGACTATTAGAAATTTAAATAACCTTTAAAAAAAACTCAAGAGTAATATGGCTTCAAAAAGAAATCCAAAACCAGTAGAAAACCTGAAAAACACTTTAAAAAAATATGCATATGCATCAGGGGTGGTTTCTAATTTTTTTTACTACCGGTTCTGTGGCTTATTTTGTGGGCGTGGCTTGATAGTCATGTGACAATTATTTAGGATTTAGTAGAGGTACTGGTCTACCAGGCTTTTAACTGCTTGCAGAGCTGTACCAATCTACCCATTTGTTTTTGCAGGCACTGGTCTACCCATTTATTTTTGCAGGCACTGATTTACTCATGTATTTTTGCAGGCACCGATCTACTCATGTATTTTTGCAGCACCGATCTACTCATGTATTTTTGCAGGCACCGATCTACTCATGTATTTTTGCAGGCACCGATCTACTCATGTATTTTTGCAGGCACTGATTTACTCATGTATTTTTGCAGGCACTGATTTACTCATGTATTTTTGCAGGCACTGATCTACTCATGTATTTTTGCAGGCACTGATCTACTCATGTATTTTTGCAGGCACCGATCTACTCATGTATTTTTGCAGGCACTGATTTACTCATGTATTTTTGCAGGCACGATCTACTCATTTGTTTTCTTTTAACACTGATCAGCTGTAGGACGGCCCTTTGAAGCCCCACAGCAAGAGTTTAAACAGTTTTTTCTCTCTAGTCATCAGCTGGGACTCAGGAGGCAGCAATAGATTGGGGGTGGGGCCAAGTAAAAGGTAAGAATAACGCGGGGGTGGGTGGGTGGGCCGGGGTGGGGCTAGGGGGGCAGAACCGGTTCGGTGACATCATATTGTCACCGCTACTGGCTCGGCGGAACCGGGCCGAACTGGGAGGAACCCACCACTGATGTGCATGGATTATTGAAACCATTGCACTAAGATGTATTTTCTACTTTTAATGTGGAGCCAATTATTGTTGTTGCATATTATAGTTTATTGACAAATGTACTGTGCTATGAGTTTAGCCAGTAGAAGCTCAATCTATAAACCATGGTTAGGAAAACCATAATTTATGAAATGTATGACTTGTAATAGCTGTCTCAAAACTTTGTAGTTTGAAGTTTTGAAAAAGCCGTTAGAAGTCATGCATGTCATAAATTATTGTTCAAAAGAAAGATGACATGTATATTTTACTGCTCTTCGCTTGATAAGACATTGTAGGAAGAAAGCTTTATTAATATAGTAGCCAAAATCAGAAGAAATCTAGTAACACCTTTTCAATCTGACAATTTCTATCAAAAGGCATAAACTTTAATGAACTACAGCTCACTGCTGCAGACACACAGAGTCAAAAAATGTATAAAGTAATATCAGAACATTTTAACCTCCTAGGACACTGCATTACATATTTCTAAGTGTTTTGGAATGAAAAAATACCAATAAAAGAGAATATTTGTAGCTCAGGGTTGAAATGTGGGGTCCTTACTGTTCCCTGAGCTTGATTGTTTTCTTGCATATGTTCCAGTA